ACTATGGCTGTAATGGTAAGCAAGACATTCCCTCTGGGTGCACGTTGGTGCCAAGGCTGGCAGAAAACACCACACCAGGCTGCAGATAGGCCAAGCTGGGAAGCTGATTGTCCCTGAGATTCACTAGAATCTGCCTGCAAAGATGTCACTGAAGCTCAATGGGAAACTGTCCACGGTGGTTGCCAGTGAAACTCGATGGGAGCGAGCTGTGCTGGATGTGCTCACCTCTGCCCTCCCATACCCTGCTGGCAGCTACACAGTCAGAGCAAGCTGAAAACAGAGGCTTATCAAAACCAGGAAGAGATGCTCCTTTCAGTGCCCTTTACTGACAAAGCTTAACATTATGCCAGGTGCGAAGGACAAATGCTTACAGGGGCCATCTTATTTAACATAGAGCAGGCAATGAAATGTGTATTTGAAGCTGAGAGGCAATACATTGATAACTGGCACACATGTTTTATTCTCAATTCTTACAGCCCACTTCATAGGATATTGAGGCTCAGGTATATGGCATGATATTAGACCAACTCTCAAGTTATTGGCAGAACTAAGATATATACTGAGGATAAGATACAATTCCTTATCATATATACTTACTTCTCACTGTACAAAGCTCTAAGTAAGAACTTCCTTTCTTTGTTGGTAGTAAGTAGTTGTAATCATCTTTTCTTGTAAAGCCTAAAAATAAATGAAAGAAAGTCTAATTTATCAAAAATATTATGTATGATCTATTGTAATGATTTCATATAATTTTCCTATTAGGTATACCTGGCGTCTTATTAATCCTTTCATTCAAGATACATAAACAGAGGATGGATAATAACCAGGAGGTGATTTCCTGGAACACAAAGTAAATATTGAAAGGAGAGTTTTATTATTTTTTTTAAATAAAATAATTGTCATATAAAAGTTTAACCCTGATTTTCTCTGAGTTAGTAAGTTTAGCACTCTTTAAAATGTGAAACATCTAGTCTACTCCCCCATCAAAGGACTTCATGATGTTGTATGTGGTTAGAGTCTGGCACCAGATTGGAGGCAAGAATGGCTAGATAAGGTGAAGCTATGAAAAAATCTGAATGTAGATAACGTCTAGGTTGAAAACCAGAATTGAAAACCAAAAGTTAAAGAAATCAAATCTGGCAGTAAGGCAAGGGGACGGATAATTGATATCAAGATGACCAAGAAATTTGAGTGGTGGGTGGAGACTGGAGAGATTCCCAGGACATAACTGTAGGCTGTCTTTGGATTCATTCTACAGTTGTGAAGAAATTAATAAAGACACCCAGACAGTTTGGACAGAAAGGAATTCAGTGAAGTGGGTGATGTCAGTTAGAAACCTTTATATAGATTCCCCATTGAGCCTGTCCAGATGGTTTCCTACATGATCATTAGGTGAACAGCCTTAATAAATGATGATCTATACTCACACAGCACTTGATTATTTTATTTTAACCTCTTTTCATGCAATTTCCAGTGTCACAAAAGAAAGTTTTGATATTAGTCTGATATTTTATCCTTTTAAGGTAAAGTCTTTTTTTTTCTCTCCAGAAACGTTTATATTTCCTCATTATCCTTGCAGTTGTTAAGTTTTATCAGGGTGTGTCTGGAAGTGGGTATCTTTAAATTCACACTGATTGGCACCTGATCAACTCTTTTGATGTAAAGACTAATATCTTTATTCGTTTCTGAAATATTTACTTCTTATCTATCTTTGATTATTTTCTCTCTTCTATTGTTTCTGTTCTCCCTTCATGGAATTTCAAATACACATACGTGGACATAGATATTTCATTAAGTAAAACTTCCTCCCACATATTTTTCATTTATTTCCTTGGCAATATTATTAAGTTTCACCAGCTTGGATTTTACATCTTTGCAATTAATTACTCAGTCTATATACTTGAGTTTTCTTCATTTTGGCAATCTTCTTTTCAATTATCAGGAACTTCTCTTTGTTCTCTGATTGGTCTTCTATAAGAAGAAGCTGGATCTTATACTATGGATTTGATATCCTACTGAATTGCTAGTAATATACTAACTGACACTTTAAAAGTTCTGTTTTGAGATTAAATTATTTTGTTTTTCCTCTGCAAATATAATGCCTATGTGTTATTTCATACACCACCAAGGACCACTGATGGTTTACTAAATCACCCTGCATAATTCTGTTCCCTACTTCCTTTTCACTTTATTACTCTCACTCTGCGAAGCCCAGTGCTTTTATGGCTTTAATTACCATGTATATGGTGAAGATGCTTATATTTCTCCAGCATAGATCTTGTTTCTGAGGATCAGAGCCGTATATTCAATTGCCTAATGTATATGGATGTCTTCCATTGGGATGCTACCCAATGTATTTAAAACAGCTATCATCTCTGTTCCATTTTCTGTTTCCTCATCCACTCAGTGATCCAAGCTAGAACCTGGTTTTATCCATGACTTGTCTGTCTCTCATCTCCATCCTATATTTCGTCCTTCTGTTTGTTACTCCTAAATATTTCTCGAACCTTTTTTTCTCTCTTAATGTTAGTTTGTACTCCCTAGACCCAGAGGCTGATATGGGGATTTGAGAGTGATTTATACAGAGAAGGGGGTGATGGAAACAGATTATGGTAAGAAAGGGAGTGACTTCAGCTTGTAACCATATGAGTTCTGGAGTTCACATTGCTCCACGGATATTGGCCCACCTTGATGAAAGGTGGCCAGCCTTTTGTACCTAGTGCTGGGCAATTATTGGCCGTTGGTGGGTCCTGGGTAGTGAGTATAACCCCCTAATGAAGGCAGCTCTCATTTTCTCTTAATTGTCCATAGACAGGCGGAGCTGTGAGCTGTTAGCAGCCTGGGCTTGGCAGCTGGGTCGTGGTTGCACTGACCTGGTTGAGAGGATTTGTGTGGGACACAACAGTGACCACCAAACTCTACATAGTCACTGGCACCACCAGAGTCAAGGCCTCCATCCTTTCACACCTGAATTATTACAATAAACTCTTAACTGCTATTCTGTTTCCAGTCTTGTTCCCATACTACAGTTACAGTTACCATTCTAAAACTCAAATCTAACCACATCACCTACTAGCTTACAAGTCCTTTCAATGTTTCCCTCATTTTCGCTAGCATTAAATCTTAAACTGTACCTAAGACTCTTCTCGATATTCTCTGTTTCTTTCTTCCCAGCTTCATGGCTTGCTATTTACCTTTTACACATTCAGTGTCTCGCATGGTGCCTGACACACATTGGGGGTTCAATAAATAACTGTTGAATGGATAGTTAATTTAATAACCACAGAGATACAGAATTATTTAGGTTTCCTGAATATGTCTTACTCTTTCTCACCTCCTGGCATTGTTAAGTGTTCCCTCACAGTAGGAACACATTTTCCCCAAACTTACCGACTCTTTTCCATCCCTTTGGTTTCATTTCTGATGCCTTTTCATCTAGGAGGTGATTCCTGACCCCCAGGTCTCTGTTGTGTCTTCCTCCCATCATAGCACCGTGTGTTTCTACTATCTTGCCATTTATAATACTGTGCTGTACTTTGCTTTCTTTTGGGAGTCTTTCAGTGGATTGTAAGCAGCACTTGAGTCTCTTTTTACTCACAGCCAAAGCTCCAGCCAATATTACAATGCATAATATATTCCTTGAGTTGGTTAATGAATAAATGAATGATTCAAGAGATAGAATATGTACATGTTGAAGTTGTTTTGCGTGGAGACAAGGCCATACTTGTTTTTCAAAACAATTTTTAATAATGAAATATTACCAAAAAGTAAATTAATGAAGAGAGAAACATACACAGCCCACTTTTATAATGTAATGAAACCTAGTTGAGAGCAGGGAGAATATTGAGGTAAATTATTTGCTCAGACACCGAGAACCCTTAGTTTCATTTCTTTCTCATTCCTTAGTTTTAGCAGGATTGAAAACAAATTCTGGTTCCTCAAGAGGTCTAGCTAAAATTTTCCTTAGAGTCTGACTCAGATAAAGGTAGGAAAGAATTCCCTAGAGCCCAGTATTATTGTTTGTTGATCTATTTTTTATTCAATTTTTCATCTTCCTTTATACTTTAACTATTCATTCAATTTTTACTCTGCACTAGATATTGTGCTGTATTGTAGAAACTGTCGTATCTGGCTGGCAACTATTTTACAGAGAATGACTGTATATTTAATAAATACATTATTCCCCTGACATTTAAATGTTCTTTTTTTGAGTCTTCACTCTTTCTGGTTGAAGTGAGCTATACAAAATTGTTCTGAAGCCACAAAGAAATTTGGAAACATGGCCTAATCTTCATTACTGATCCCTCAGAGATTGAGTGGCCCACTGTTTTTATAGCCCTAATGTACTTAGACATCATAATGTTGCATGCAACAAATGACCATGAATTATGGTACATAAAAGTTAACAGACTAATTAGTGAAAAGTTATTAGGTTTTTATTTATAGATAATGTATACATTGTGCCCAGTACCGTCTCTGGCTCAATAAATTGTAGCTATTATTATTATTTGACTTTTCTATCATTATTGCCTGGCAGTGTATCACACAATTAAGAGCATGGTGTGTGACATGGGTCAGATTTTGATTCTTGGCTCTTCAGTGTATCTGTTTTTATACCTTCTCCTTTTTGTCAGATCCTTACTTATAAAGTGGGGATAATAGCAGTGTCTATCTCTTTGGACTGTTATAATTGCTCCATGTTAATATATTTTATTATTTCTCTTATTTTTGTTATAAGGAGAGTCTGTGCATCTATTTACATAGATTATGCTAGTGAAACTAAGCCCTGATTTGGTAGAATTTTCTAAATATGCAAAGAATTCTCCTGAGTTAGATTTTCTCTTTTTCTTGCACCATTTCTGCTCTGCTAAATTGCAAAATCTATGAAGTGCAGAGATCAGTTTTTTCCTTATCCCATAAGTAGTTGTTTGTAGAGAAATACTAAATGTCCTCTTGATGTTTTACTCAATAGAATCATTGCTGTATTCCAGAGACATTTATTAGTCCCCTGAAATAGCTTTCTTGCTGCATAGTTTCCTAATAGCATTTTTCATCTGGGCTTTTCTCAAGGTATAGATTAAGGGATTTAACATGGGAGTTATGATAGAGTAGAATACAGCAACTGCTTTGTGAACAGATAAAGTAGCTGCAGGTCTCATGTACACAAATATGCATGGCACAAAGAATAAGACGACCACTGTGATGTGTGAAACACAAGTTGAGAGGGCTTTGCGTCTGCCCTCCAAGCTATGAGTCCTTAGGGAGTGCAGGTGACCACATAGGAGGCCAGCAAGAGGAGAAAGTTTAACAAGCATATGAATCCACTGTTGGCAGCAAGGAAGAGCCCTAGAATGTGTGTATCAGTGACGGCAAGATCAAGCAAAGGGTTCAGATCACACATAAAGTGATCTATGATGTTAGGGCCACAGAAAGGTAATCGAAACGTGAAGAGGATCTGTATGGTTGCATGGAGAAAGCCTCCAACCCACACTATTCCCGCTAGCAGGCCACACACTCTCCGGTTCATGATGATTGCGTAGTGCAAGGGCTTGCAGATGGCTACGTAGCGATCGTAAGCCATCACAGTAAGAAGGATGCCTCTGCACCTCCAAAGAAATGTTCTCCAAAGACTTGGGTCATACATCCATTGAATAGGATGGTCTTCCTTTCATGGAGTGAATCTATGATCAGTTCTGGGGTATTGACAGAGGAATAACAGGCATCAATAAAGGACGGATATGCCAGGAAAAAGTACATAGGGGATCCCAACATTGGGCTGACAGTGATGGTGACCACAATGAGCACATTTCCTACCACAGTGATGATGTAGATGACAAAAATCACAGCAAATATGATTTTCTGCATCTTTGGATTCTCTGTAAGCCCTAGTAAAACAAACTCTGTCACGTTGTTTCTACTCTCCCTGTATTTTATGGGATGGTTAATTACATTACCTGAAAGAAAACATTTTATTAAAACAACCCTGAATGTATTAAGATTATCTATCATGATAAATAATAAAAGTCTGAATTCTACTGATATGTGAATTCCTATGGATTTTTTTTTTCAGATGGAATTGCATGTTCTTAGTACTTGAAGATTACTTACACTGCTTCCCCAGATAAGAATTGTAATAATAGAGAGCGACTTCTGTAAACACACAGGTCAGGAATCGTTTGTGTAACTTAGTCATCTGAGATGACTAAGAGCTTGATTTGAAGTAGTGACAGCACACACTATGGCAGATAAGCCTGAGAATGGAGGTAGGAGATGGGTGTAAAGACCATGGATGTAAAGCAAAGGAATTTGCTCTTATTCTTTAGGAAATAGAGAATCATGCAAAGTTTTTGAGAACATGAGTGGAAAGATGAAGAGGAATTTGAGGAAGAGGGAATCTTGGAATATTAATCTAGTAAAGGTCTTTATGTGTCTTGGATCAAGATCAGCAAGCTGTTGGAAGCCAGAGACAAGAAGAGCAGTTAGCAGACTATTTATAGTTGTTGACATAAGGAGTACAGGGCACTGGTGATGGGAATGAAAGAAAGGATACAAGAGCTTCTGTGAAAGAATTCATAATGCTTATTGTCTAAACTCAATTACTTTATAATAGCTAATGATATATAGATCTTAATAACTGCTTGCCTGGAGCATGGTTTGGTAGCAAGAGCTTTGTATATGTGATTCCGTTTAATCTTTACAACAACATGCGTGGTTTATATTGTTTCACCCATTTTGAAGATGAAGAAACAATCTCAGAGACTAATCCTCATAGTTATAATAACAATGGTAGTAGTTACTAAAACTTACTATGATATGTTCTAAGTGTTTTGTAAACATGTACTTATTTAATCCTCATTACACACCTAGGATTTGATTACTTTTTTTTTAAATCTATTTTATACTTTAGGAAAGAGAAGCACAGAGAAGTTAAAGATCCTTCCCAAGATAAAGCAGCTAATAAAGGGGAGAGCAATGATTTGGTCTCAAAGCATTCCTTTTAATTTTTTTTGCAAATTCTTAAGCTATACCCTATATTGTTATGTTTTAATATGTTAAATAGTGTTTAACTAGTAATCTTTCGATATAATCAGAGTAACTATAATTTTAATACTACCTCTAAAAGTCCCTGGCTCGTCCCTGGCTTTCGGCACCACCACCATGTGTCTGTCAGTTTGTCTGCTCTGGTGGTTTTCACGTTGCTGTGATACTGGAAGCTTTGCCATGTGTATTTCAAATACCAGCAAGATCATCCTTGGTGGACAGGTTTCAGCAGAGCTTCCAGACTGAGACAGACTAGGAAGAAGGACTTGGTAGCCTGCTTCTGAAAAAATTAGTCAGTGAAAACTTTATGAATATTACCTCCGAGGCAAGTTTATGTGAAGAAATTTCATCAGCAGAATACACACACACACAAATATAAACATATATGTCATTAAACATGAATAATGACATAGGATAGCTATGTCGTTAAATGTACATATATATACACGCACACATATATCCATACATACACACACACATATAATCATGAAATTCCCAAATACTAAGAAAATATGGTACTGTTTTCATTGAAGAGCCTCTTCATTTGGCTTTACTCTCTCCTCCCTAACTCCCCTCCAAGGCATGTGCCTCAAACTTGTGCAAAATGCTGCAATCGACTGTTACGTGGTTAAGTGTATTGGTCTTAGAAGCAGAAAGACTAGATCTAGAATCTTCCACTTGCAGGTTTTTTTTTTTTTTTTTTGTCTGAGAGTACATTTCTTTGCACCTTACATCTTGTTTCCTCAATCTGTAATTTGATAATAAAGATGTACACCTCACTGGTTACTATGAGAATTGATTGGGAGAGCACATGTGAACACATCTAGCACAGTGCTGGGGACACATGTAGGACTTTGTCCCATTTTTGTGACTGTACATGCACCTAGAAGACACGAAGAATTGATACTTAGATCAATAATACAGGCAAATATTTAACCATACTATAAGTTCAGGAAGAACAATCTCCAAATGTACCTCTAAAGAAGCCAGAGACTCATATTATCCACAGCATTTGATCCCAGGAGGGTTCTCTATGTTCGTTAGTGTACTAAACAGCTGAGGATTTATGTCATTTAATATTCATATTTGTGCCTTTTTGTGTGAATTGTATTTAAATCTTGTTACATCCTCATGATTAGTCTGGATTATTATAAGAGCTTGTCTCGTGGCAAGCATGGTTCCTGATGTCAAAGAGCTAGGTTATAGTCCTATACATTGTTTAATCTCTGTGAGCCTCAACTTTTTCATCTGTCAAACGAGGTTAATGATGCTTACTCATATCTTTTGGGCTGGAGTGAGGATGAAATATTATAATACTATATTTAGAAAGTGTTAAAAACAATTTCTATATATGGTAAATAATAATCTTTAATAAGAGGCAACACCACTGAGAAACTTACCTTAGTGGTCTTTGTAGATGACCGTAATGATGGTTGGGAGTGTTCAGTAACAATTCCATCTTCAAACGTATCTCCTCTTGGAGTAAATAACTTTCAATATGAAAGCTATGAGACAGTTGGCTAGAGAATATTCAGATAATGCAACATCAAAGCAAAAGTTGATAAAGAGTTGTTATGAGTCTAAATCTTTCCTTCTAGCCTAAAAACTCATCCCTTTCCCTCCCCAGAATATCTGGGATTTGAAGTTAGAATGGATTCCCTTGAAACAATAAAGAGAATTATCTTCTATACATGGTTATGGTCTTGCAGGGTAAGAGGCAGAAAGTGTGGAGGAATCACATTTAAACGGGTTACTCCACACAACGAATCTTGTTCTGGATGTGTGAACAACAAGAACAAAAAATGTTTTCACTTTGCACTGTATAGATGTTTAAAGAGGTTCCATTAAGGCTCAGGAACTTGACTTGTAGTTGCTACTTGCTCTCTCAGGAATAAATTATCTCCTTTGACAGAAAGACTTTGTCTTAGAAGCAGGTATTCTGGAGAGACGTGTTTGAGAAACAACTATTTTTGAATAGGGAATTGTATTCCCTGCACTTGGAACCTAACCATGTGACAGTCTCTGTTATGAATTGAATTGTCTCCCAAAAACATGTGTCAACTTGGCTAGGCCATTATTCCCAGTATTGTGTGACTGTTCACCATTTTGTAATCTAAGGTGCTTTTTCTATGTGTTGTAAATCCTGCCTCTGTGACATTAATGAGGCAGGATTAGAGGCAGTTATGTTAATGAGGCTGGACTCAAATCTACAAGATGAGGTTGTGTCTTGAGTCAATCTCTTTTGAGATATAAAAGACACAGTGAGCAGAAAGACAGGAGGACCTCCTAACACCAAGAAACAAGAGCTAGAAGAATAGCGCATCCTTTGTCCTTTGGACCTGGGATCCCTGTGCTGAGAAGGAACTGGGGAATAATGATGACAAGGACCTTCCCCCAGAGTCTACAGAGAGAGAAAGTCTTTCCCTGGAGCTGGCACTCTGAATTGGTACCTCTAGCCTCTTAGACTGTGAGAGAATAAATTTCTGTTTGTTAAAACCATCCACTTGTGGTGTTTTTCTTATAGCAGCGCTAGATAACTAAGACAGTCCCCTTTCTCTATCTAAACCCAGATTGTTAAGAAAGCTGAATGCCATGTGAATAGCATGGTAGGGTACTTTCTGTGTGTGACCTGTGAAGTAGGTTACCTGTTGACTCATGTTACAAAGGGAACATCTGTGTTTTTATCAATATTAAACCTTTCCTGGAAATTCACTATTGATTGCTTGGGAGCGAGAACAGTGAGAACATAAAATTAATGGTTGATAATTTCAAGCACTTGACTCCTAAATTGTTTTTCACATTTCAGATAGGTCTTCGGAAGTAGTCAGAAATCCCAGAAGGTGCCAGATTACAGTATCTTCTGGAACTCATGGGCTGGTCAGTATTGAAAGCTAGAGCGCATTAAAAGTGTAAAACAGAGCGTTCCAGGCATTCCACATGTTTGTTACTTAATATTGTTAGTTGTTTTCCTTTTAGTCCTTCATTCTAGGGGTACATAGTGGTAAATTACTGTGGTTTAATTTGCATTTCCCTGATGGCTAATGATGTTGAGAATTTGTTTTTTCATATTCTTATTGGCCATTTGTATATATTCTTGTATATCTCCTTTTGCAAAGTTTGAGTTCAAGTCTTGCACATTATAAAAACAGGGGTTCTGAGTTTCTTATTACTGAAATTAAGTGTTCTTTATATATTCTGTATATTCTGAATACAAGTCCTTTGTCATGTATATAGACTTCTCTGAAAATCCATAGCTTGTCTTTTCATTTTTTCAAAGGGTGTCATCTAATGAGAAGTTTTAAATTTTTGACAAAGTCCAAATTTTTGTTATGGTTCATGCTTATTGTGTCATATCTAAGAAATATTAGCCCACTCCAAGGTTATCAAATTCTGTTACAGAATTTTAAGTGTTAGCTTTGAAATGTAGGTTATTGTGTATGGTGTGAAGTAATGGCTGAGATTCATTTTTTTCCCATATAGATATCCATTTAACTCAGAATACTTTGTTGAAAAGTCTATTCTTCCTCTATTGAATTACTTTGATATTTTTGCAATAAAATTACATATTTGAGCCTATTTCTGAACTTTCTATTCTGTTCTACTAATCTAAATGTTTATCCTATGCCCATACCACACTGTCTTGATTTGTGGAGCTTTATAGTAAGTCTTAAAGTTAGGTAGAGTAAATCTTCCAACTGTGTTCTGTTTTTTTCCGTTTGAGAGTGGTTTGCTATTCTAAGTTGTTTTTACATTTCTATATAATTTTCAGAATACCCTTGTCAATTTCTTGAAAAATTCTGTTGGAATTTTTGTTGGAATTGAACTTAATCCATTGAATT